AGGCACTTGAAATTTAATAGTCTATATGAAATCCAGGACTTTTGACTGAATGTCGTACCTGCTCTTATATTTGTCCTAGATACAATCTTGTAAAGGGTGGGGGAGGGGCTTCTGCTTTTAAATGACTGGATAATTTGACACTGTTTTGTGTATGTAGCCTCATGTAGCTCTGGGCTCTTTATTTGAGAAGCTATTGGGAGAAGCATTATTCCCTGTGTAGGGTTATTACTGTTAAACTTCATTTCTACAAGATTGTACATAGGTCAAATATAATGAACAGGTACAACATTCAGTCAAAAGCCCTGGATTTCATACAGACTATTATGAGAGAGACAGAGATAACAAAAGTCTGATGGTGATACAAGGTTGAGGACTCAATCTGAGAGGAAATTCTCAAAGAGTCAATAAAAATATTGCACATCAAAAAAAACTTATCAATACCTGAGCCACAATCAGAGATTTCTATTCAGTAATCAGGGTGGAGCCAGGAGTCATCATGTTTAACTCCTCCTAGAGGACTTTTAAGAGCCCAGGATTAGGAGTCAAATTATTCAAATTCAAGGGCAGCTTTAGCATTGTACACTTGGTCCAGAACATATATTTAAACTGCCTCAACTCATTCTAAACAATGTCAACAATGATATTAATAAGTCTCCTGTAAGGTTGAGAATAGGAGACTATACAAACATACCCTTGCCATTATAGAAGTCACTGCCTAAAGTCAAGGTTGTTTCTGTCTAAAAACCATATAGCTGTCCAGGGGTGCCTCATTCTGCCCGATGGAGGAACTCAGGGATTTCTGTGTGGCCAGGTTAGAAAGCAAAGGATTGGGAGACATTGAACAGACTCTCCACTGCCCTGTGCCATTGACATAGGCTCTGGAAGTGCTCGCTCCAGTGTGCCAAGGAAGGGCAGTATTAGGACAATAGTGAGAACACATAATCAGAAGACTAAGACTCAGAAGGGCTGGACTGCCAGTGGGAAAGATTTGATAAGGTGTGTGGTCAACGGTGGTCAAGGCTTTACTGCCTTCTAGCGTTGTTATTCTCAGCCTGACCATGTAGACAAAGCACCTGAGGAGCTGTGTGCAAACTTCTGCAGAGCCATTAAACAGATGCATGATATCTAATCCCCACTCCTGACTTACTAAATAAGAATCTCCATGGGTGAGACTTGGGACTGATCTATCTATCCATCTTTCTCTTTTTTTCTTCCTTCCTCCCTCCCTTTCTTTCTTCCTTCCTTCCTTCATTCATTCCCTTCTTTCTTTCTTTTCTTGTAAACTCTCAGATACCAATTCTCTTATGCGTCCCCTGTAAGTTCAGTTGACTCTATCATTTATAGTGATAAATGAAAGAAGTGAGAATAGATGTGCGTGGATAGCAACCAGATTCTCAATGTTTACCAAGATGCCTTAAATGCATTAACTAATTTAATCATCCTAATCATTACCCCTTATTTAAAGATGACAATAAAGAGCTGAATGCCATGGAGATTATTATATACCTTGCAATCATGTTGTGATAAAACCAAGGGTCAACCATAAGTCTGTCTAAAATGAATAACACAAAAAATGTAAATAGGTATCACCTATCCACCAGTTACATAATGCACTCTCAGTTCTGTGAGATTGAATCTCCCCACCTCAATTTTATACTTGACATGATTGTTTTCAGGCTAACTAATTTGCTCTGGTCATATAGCTCATAAGAGGCAAAGCTGGGACCCTAACTCTCCATCTCTCAACCCTCATTGTATTTTTCTTTTCCTATTCACTTTTCCTATTCTATGTGCCTCAAAAATCAATAGTAATGGCCATAGCAAGAGCAACAGATATTTATCAGATGCTATGTCTGTATCAAACATTTCACTGAGATCTACACACGTATTATCTGTGTGCAGATCGTACCCTAAAGACAGAAGTTACTTTTTAGTTTTTGGTCTATCAACATATATGGCATGTTGTGAGAATGTCATCTGGGAGAGTTAGAAATGAACATTTTCAAGGAGTCCCAGATGTCTTAGACACACATAAAAGTAGCAGAAATAGTTCTGGGTCATTATTTTTTTTTTGAGGAGACACTTTTGCTTTGCTTTCTTTTTTCATCTTTCCAAAGGCTTTTTTATTGTTAATTTTCAGGAAGAGTAATGTTATCACTCATATGTAAGTAAAGTGTCTGTTTACTGAGCCTTACAAAGCAACAGAAGAAAAATACACATGGGACACTGCCTCATGTTCTGCGGTTTGCAATGATGTAAGTTTGAGCAGGGACTCTTGCCTTCTGTAACAGTGATACCATCTTCCAATGTTCCATGGTTGTCCAAGGTATGGGCCACTAAATTCCAAATATCCTGGCAAGGAGCCACAACAACACACACTGTGATGAGTTTGCCCAGGAACTAATATCTTGTGACTAATAGATAAAAACCTTTTGTAATCTATTAACTTAGCAGGCCAGCATACCCCAAAGCTAAGAATATCATCAGATATCATCTTAGTCCTAGAGAAACCGCCACCCCCTTGATGAACCTCTTCTCTAATGTACCCACCAATGTACTTTAAACTTGCCTTGATTTGTGACTTTATTTGTTCTGTATAAATATTAAAAACTTTATGACACTGCTTTCAATTGTAACATCCAATTTTGGATAGTCTACCTGTGACGTGGGCCATGCTCACTCATTATATGTTCCAGAATAAACTGTATCTTTTATTCCTTTGAATTGAGAACTATTTCTTTCAATGAGATTAGTCAGGGGCCAACCCAGAATGGCTATTAATTTGGAGTCAGTGTTGCCATTAGCTTATCCCTCATCCTGTGGCCTGGTTCAGCCTGTTACTGGTTACCTAACCTCACAAGTACTTACAAGCAGCCTATGGATCATGGAACTCAGTAAAAGGCCAGCACTTGCTTATTTTGAATCCGACAGTGATGAACAGAGCTTGGGCATTCGCCTCCCTTACACTTGAAGTAAGCTTCCTTTCTATTGTTCTGATTCCCTGCCTGCGCTGACAGACAGTGGAACTCTGGGGATGTATAAGGTCCCTACCACAAGAAAAGGATTTCTGTGTCTCCCATTATCTTGTCTCATCCTCAAGAATGTCAACAATCTCTTTATCTTTTGGCTTTAGGCTGACCTTTAAAGTGTGATACAGGGTTTATTCTTCCATACAGAAGGAGTCTTGCCTCTGAAGAAGATTCCCTCTTAGCTGATCTTTGTAAGGGAAGTACCCACTCTCACTTTTGGAAGTTACTGAAGGCCGATCATGTCATTTGTAAAGGGTGTAATTGACACTACCCATGAAATTTGTCTCAGCGGATGCTGGCATATGACTATTCACGTCTCAGTGTACGGAGAAGGAAATTGCTAGCGATGGAGGTTTCCTCATTCCTTTCTGCCTAGCATCTGCTGTCATTAAAACACCTGTAAAGAGAATCAACAGTTCTCACCCTCTGCTTGCTTTACTATTGTTGCATAAGGAAAACACCAGAAAGAAGCAAGAGGAAAAGGAGCAGGCACGTTAATTAGCAATAGCAACAAGGCTTTGTGTGCCCATCTGCCTGCAGTAGCTCAATGAAACAAAAGCCAGCCATTTGTCTGAATCCAATGAGTCATCAATTAGAATCAGTTCAGGACTGGTCCTTCCTAATGTGCTCAGTTCCACAGTTACAGCCACAGGCAGGTTGGGTCCACAGGCAGGTTGGCCCTGCTTGCAGCCGGGATCACCATTCATAACCTGAGTGATAGACCACACCTTGTGCTCAGTCCTATTCTTCTCTGAAATCATTCTGATTTACCTCAATTTCAAGGTCTCCATTTCCTTTTTGGCTACTAACACAGGTATTCTTGGGAAACAAATTCCAAATTGCCTCCCCCCCCCATAACACCCCAAGGTAGCCTCCTAGCAGAATCTGTCTCCATTTTGAAGGTAATATGCACAGCTGTGCCTAGGAACAAACCTCTCAGGATCAAGCCTGTAATATCTTTCTATCAACCCTGACCAAAAATGAAGTGGTCACGGACCCTGACATCATGAGAATGTGGAAACAAATGTAAAGAAATGGCCATGGGTTCTGAAGGGTTTACTTACAAAGATAAGTAGAGAGGGTGGCATAAAGATGAGTGAGAAGGTGGAGCTGAGACACTTGGATGTCTCGGGATAGGATACATAAGTTTTGCTTCCTTGTGCTCATTCCACACCCTTCCTAGAGCAAATTCCTCAGGAATCCAGAGTTGCCATTGGTTTTTATTTCTTTCTGTTTACTCACTGCTGGTTTCTAAGCTCTTAGAACTACACCTGCTAGATGTTTCTGTGTATAAGTGGCAAACACATGGATGGAACAAAAAGACAGGAAAAAATTTAGAGCCAGTGATGAGGCCTTAAGCAACAGCTATCGGAGTGCTGAAGATCCAGAGAGGAGAATGCCACAGAATTCAAGTGAAATAAAAGTCAGCTCTGAAGATACACATTTCTAGCATGTTAGATCAACATAAAAGGAAAGCTACTTCCCCAGAGTCGTTATCCTTAGGCTGCTCTCAGCTTTGTCTCAGCCAGCTGCAATCCATGACAAGCTGTCTCAGTGGTCACTTGATTGTGTCCTCAGTGTTAGAAAAGGGGACCAGAAAAAAAGCTGATAGACTCTAGATCAGCATCTTTTACCACATTTTACCACACAACTGGCACAGCATTGAAATCTCTGCTAGCAACGAGACCTCAGAGTCCTCACCACCCTGGAGACCTCATGTCACACCCCCATTACACACAAGAAAACTGAAGTTCAAAGAGAACAAATGATTTGCACCATGTCTCAAATACCCAGTGAAGTCTAGAATCACATAAAGTCTACATGAATCAAACATTCTTGCTCCGAATTAATGAACCAAAAGTTACTCCAGAACTGGATATACTTCAGGAAACCCCAGCAGCCATCACTTTGAAGCCAGTCCGAGCTACATGTGAGACAGACTCATACAATGGAACACAATAGTAAACTAACCTTCCAGTGCTCCTGCCCAGTTGTATCTTCTGAGTTATTCATCTTGCTCTGTTCAGTATATCACTCACTCCTAAGTTGAAGCAATACAAGTAAGAAAGAGGCTGCTAAAATTCGGTCCTTTCTTTTTCTGTTAATGAGGAAATTTTTCTAAAAAAAAATTAAATAAAATAGGCTGACACTTAACACACTACATCCAGTTTTACTCACATACAAAGTGTTTATGCCAAGAATGACTAGTAAGAAAATAAAAGACTGTATTGAAAACTTACCACAGTTTTCTCTTTGTTCAAATCTCTTCATGTGGAGCTGTGTAACTAGCTCCTCATTGCTGGTGAAGAGATAAGTACTGCTTACACTCAAGGAAATCCTGTTACCCCTAGAGTATCCCAGAGACTACATTGGCATTTCCCAGAAAATTCTCCTTCCTGAACTTAAAGCCAGTTAGCATTAGCTCTACCACACCTACAGAAACCTGGCCCATGACAACCTGCAATTAGTGTCATCAGACATAGAGGAATAATGGTCAACTCATTAGTTAAGCTCCCAGCTACTACTTCACTTTTGGGAAAGTATTACTGAAATATTAGCAGGTTCTTCTCCTGTAAGTAGTAGTGTAGCAAGGACTCCTGAATGTAGTAAGGACACTTATTTATTTTTCACTGTCACCAAAATGTTCCCTGATTACTTATTTCTGTGCAATTCTTCAGTCAGCTGTTCACTGTGTTAACATTTAGCTAAAAGGGCTCTGAATGGGATTAGGCCCACCTATGACTCTGCTTCCTTCTGGGCCAGTCTTCTAAGGCAATTGGTTTACATTCACTGGACCACATATAAGAAAATATATAAGTACTCCAAACTGCAGCCATCTTTTGACCTAATCGTATAAAGATTAAGAAAACTCAAGAATGAACATCCACAGTCATTGTTGCTGGTTTCATCATCTGAAACTACTAACTACACACTATTTCCTTTTTGCTTAAGACATAAACCATATGAGGTGAAGAGAAATACAGTTATGATATGTACAGTTGGCTGTCTTATGACTAAAAAATTAAGTAAACCAATGATATTAAGGGAAATAATTCAAAAGGTAGAAATAACATATGTTAAAGAGTGGAACTGCTCTCCTAACTACAATCTTTTCTGGAACAAGGGTGGTATCAAAACTGAGCCTGTGGGGAAAATGCTTTTTTTTTATATCATGTATTAGTCACATATAGGGAAGTATGCAAACTGATGCTAATTATTCTATGCAGTGACCAAAGACTTTCCTATCTGGTCTATCTAATATCCCATAAATTTTGAGTTTTCTAGACTGGAAACAACAATTTTTCTAGGCTTTTGTGAGCAACTGACTGCTGTATTTCCAAGTTAGGATACTATCACTGAATGCTTAAGGCTGGATAACATATGAAAATAATTTTATGTCTCACAGTCCTGGAGGCTAGGAGAAACATCAATGGCATCTTCCCAAAAGGAAGGTGAAGGACTTCGTCCTATATCACAGGACAAACGGAGCAAGTTTCTAGCTCAAGTGTCTTCCCTTATAAAGCCAGTTATGCCATCACACAGGCGCTACATTCATGACCCGTCTGAATCCTAATGACTTCCCAAAGGGCCTGCATCCATATATCATTGTGGTTGGAAGGGAAATGGGCCCCAAAGGAGTGGCATTATTAGGAGGCGTGGCCTTATTAGAGGAAGTATGTCACTGTAGGGGCAGGCTTTGAGGGCTCTCTTGCTCAAGTTTCCCTAATGTGACTGCCAGTTGACTCTGTTTCCTGCAAGCCAAGATGTAGCCAGTCCTCTCAGCCCCATCTCCATGCCTGCCTGTGTGCTGCTATGCTCCCTGTCATGATGATAATGGACTGAACCTCTGAAACTGTAAGCAAGCCACCTCAATTAAATGTCCCTTTATAAAAGTTGCCATGGTCACAGTATCTCCTCACAGCAATAATAATAATAATAATATTAATATTAAAATAATAAACAACCCTAACTAACACAATCACTTAATGGGAATTTGAAGATTAAGTCTCCAGTGTATGACTATTTGGGGGAACATAGTAAAATCATAGCCTCCAAGTTTTACCCCCAGCTTCCAGTAGTTTCTTCAAATAGTTGGGTTTTTGTTTTTGTTGTTATTATTTTTGCTTTGCAACAAGGTCATACCATGTAACCTTGACTGGCCTGGAACTTACTGTATAGATCAGATTGGCCTCCAATTCACAGAGATCTGCCTGCTTCTGCCTCAGAGTGCTGGTATTAAAAGTATGCACCACCATGCCTGTCTCAAACAGAATTTTAATCAGTATAATGTTAAATCCTTGAGGGTCCCCTTTTAGGCACCTGAGTGTCCCTTTATTTATGAGGGTCTTATGTTTTTTGAACTCTAGTCTGATCATAGACACCTCAGTGACCCTCGATTTTTCCCTTCAACTTCTCAGCTTCAGAAATCCAGATTGCACCTGCATTTGAAACCACCCTTCATGAAAATTCCCTCCAGGCTGTAACCAAGGCAAAGTGAATGCCTATTTTTGCTTCTGCCTTCTATATTTTCCTCATTGCCTGATGTCCAATGGTGTATAATGCATTTTAAACGTATTTCATCTGATATTTTTTAGTTATTTCAAGCAAATGTAAATCTTCATCTTTTTAAACTTTTTAAAGTTTAGCCTCCTTTCATCCAATATACAAACCATACATAGAAGTCATTCTCCCTTATCCCATATTTGCAAAGGAGATCCTGGAACTCACCCTGACCCTGAAACCAGAGCGAAATAAACATACTAGAAACGGAGCCAGTGAAAGAAATACACCCCTGCCCCAAAACTAGAGCCAAAAAAAAAAAAAAAGTCCCAGTGAACGAAACATAGTTTGGCCCTGACACCAGAACCAACTCTGCCCCCTCCAAAACTCCACCCCTAAAATGCCCTATATAAGCCCTCTGCCTGTTGAGTTGTGGGCTGTCCTTTCCCATCTTGGTAGAGGTAGCCATACTCTTGAACGCCTCCTTCCCAAATAAATCTCTTAAAGGAGTTTTGGGTGAAGATCTTTTACTGGTGTGGAACAGAAGAACCTTTGCTGAGACGTTCCCTTAGAGGGGCTGAGCAGAAAAAAAAATAAAGAAGAAACTTGGCTGAGATGTGCTCTTAAGCGGACTAAGTAGAAAAACCAAAACAGAAGAAACAGTTGCATCTTCTGGGAAACTCCCTTGGGGGTGGAGCACAAAAAGTAACTTTTCACCAGAGCTGGAGGAGATTTCTACATTTTTTAGGGGTTTCCTCTTTAGCAGAGTGAAGCAGAAGTAACATTTTGGGGCAGATCTAAGAAGAGCAGAAGAAATGGATAGCTCAGTGAGGACTATCCCTTAGGGGAATAAAGCAGAGTTCAGCTACAATGGCTCTCCCTGGGAGAGGAGCAGGAATGCTACATTCTGCAGGGAGACCATCCCCCCATCACACCTCAGCCTCCACAGCTGTCCTATTGCAGCTCCAGCCTCCAGAGCTGTCCCTTTACAGCTCCAGATATAGCCTGACTTCCTGACAAGTCAGGATGCTTTTACCTCCAGAGCTGTAACACTCACACATTTACCTCAGAGTCATCTAGGATGCTTCCCCAAAATGTGCATTGATATATCCCCAAATGTTGTTTTACCTTCAGCACGGTGGCTGGGCCTTAAGCTTCTGCTGTTTCAACCAGTAATTCTGACTCTGCAGTTGTCGGCCTGCTTCTCTGGCAGCAGCCTGGCCTCCCAGGCCACAGCAGCTCTGCCACTGATGCTAAAGGTAGCTATAACTAAATCTCTATCATTCTGTTTATAAACAAAACTGGAGACTCAAAGGCTTGGAGGAAAGTGTGCTACCTCCAGGAGGTGGAGTAGCAACCAGCTGACCTTCTCTCCCTGCTGGTGCCTCCCAAAAGCCCATTCTTCTGCTCTGCCAAAACAGAAAAAGTCATGCCACTCAAAACCCCTCCCTGCTACTTTTGCTGTATCTCTCTGTCTCTTACAGATGCCCTCTGATGCTCTGCCATTACTTTCTGTCAGCTAGCTTCTAACTCAACCTCCTGACCGCAGGTTAATTTTATTTAATGAATGCAAAAGCAAACTTGGGGTTCACAGAGAGTGATCCCATGTACCCCACAACACCCAAATCTATTGAAAATAGGTTTCCTGAAACTAAAATGTGAGACTTGCTGCCATTGCTATAATAATTAGTTAACAGAGACAATGAAAGTTCAGAAATCGCTGCGGTAAGGCAATAGACTCAGAAAAGTGAGCAGCAGAGAGATGGAGGAATAATCCTGGCTACATCCACACGAGAGCTTCCTTAGACACTACAACCCTAAATGTCCAAGCCAAACCAACCAGGAAACCACTGTGTCCACATCTGTGTTTGCACTTAGCTCATCTAGTAATTAGCAAACAATGGTAGACATGTTCTTACCAAGGAATTTTCAGTAGTGGTAACAACACCAACTACCAACTTTTATTATCTAGTTTCAAGGGCATTTAGGATGATCTCTTCCACCATCGTGGCCCACAACAGATATATGCCTAGCAAAGGAAATGAACTGCCTAAAATTAATTGTAGGTGGTGAAGAGAAAACAGGCCAAGGTTGCCAGAGGAGCCAGTACATTGTATGTCTAAAGTAAAGACCTTTGACTGGGCCTTGGTTTTAGGCCCGGCATCTGATTTGTTTTGAAACTTGGGAAAGGAGCTCAGTGCTGGGAAGACGTTCATAGAAGTGGTTTCCATGCTTGATCTAATGACTGAGAAAACAAAGTGTAACTCTTCAGCTCAGTCACTATGTGTTCTCCAGTTAAACCTGTTTTCACTCAAAACCTGCCAGCCCTCCCTTACCTTAGCATTTAGAAAATCTATTAGGCAAATGAGGAAATGGAAACAGGTGGATACACAAGCTTGCCAGGATAGTTTCTGGACTTTCAGCTTGGCACAAGCATCTGATTTGATTTAAAACACAATGCAAAGCCATTTGAAGGATTAAATAGAATGGGGTGACTGAATTAAAGTTTTCCTCTGAGAGATTTGTGAACATTTTTAATCTTGTTGATTTTCTCAAACAATGAACTCTTCATTTCATTGACTCTTTGATTTGGATTTTGTTTCTCTTTGATTTCAGTCCTGAGTTTCTTTTTTTTCTCTCTTTTTTTTTTCTTCCCATCTGCTCTTTTGGGATGTTATTTATTCTTGTTGTGTAATAATCAACAGAAGAAAGACTGACAACCACTCTGATTAACCCACTTATAAGTATATACTTTATTAGCTGGACCAAGAACAAGCTAGTGCCTCAGAGTCTCTTGGTGCCTAAGCTCAATGGTATGGAATTTTTAATTGCAAAACTCACACAGATTACAACTTACATCAAAGTTGAATAAGGGCC